AATCCATTGTCATGACTACACTTGTAATACCATGATAACCAACCAATTATGTTTCCCTAGCATTGCTCTGCAGCAGACTGGTCAGCTGGTCATCGCAGAAACGTTTCAACAAGCCGTTGCCTAGTGATGACCGTCTTCTCTGACTTCACTATTCTAGCTTTCAGGTGTCATGTCACATTACATATAAGAGCTTTTTGTAATAAGTAGTTATCAAAATATTTCTTTGGAGCTTCTGTGTTGACTATATTGAATATTTTTATATTTTCACTGTCCTTTTGGTAAACATAAATAAATGTTTGTGAATGTCAGATTTTGGTATGATGAGCCATAGGTAGTCCTCTGTATGATGGCACCTTGTGGTCTTGGGTGGTGGGTACCAGGCATGTACTGCCTGAATCTTCAGGATAGAAGTGGTCCTAGCTGGGAAAGTGGCTGGTTATATTTGGAAGGGGGTGGGTTATTGACAGACAAGGAGTGACCATGTGCACTTTGTGGGAATGCAAAAAGGCTCCTCCCAGGGACAAGATCCCATGGGCTTCATTGTTATATTGTACTTTTTTTTTATCATATTAGAGAGTAAGTGGCCATTTTCATGGCCTCTCTGGCATTATATCTGATTCTGATTGGCTGCTCGTGCACTCTTTGTCCTGTTAGGTGCCCCCCCCCCAACTTTCCTTATATGACTAGCCACTTTTTCAGTGTGGCTAACTTTTATCCTGAAAATGGAGGCAATATGTACCCTCCACCTGCTAGACTGTCAGTGTTATCACCAAGAAGGCCACAATATGAATTTTGTTTGCTGCAAAAGCCTCAGATCTGATATAGTGTAATATCTGCACATTGAAGATTTTCTGTGCATTCCTTTAGAACAGTCTGAGGAGTTCAATATACTGTGGTAGTCCTTGAAGGAGTGAAAACATGCATCATCACCACAATTCTGACACTTATAAATCATACCCCTCCTCCCAGGTTTCAGACTGCCTAAGTTGACTGTGGGCGGGCCTTCTTACTTGTAGGCAATATTAAAATAAAATGCCTCTCGGTTAGTCATGGCACTACCGTTATTGGAGGAATATTGGCATGGTAAATTATTTGTTCTACTGCACAGAAAGGCCATCTGAATTCTCAAAACATAACTGTTCAGATTTTGTTTCATACAGAATGACAGCTTTTGAAACAGTTCCGTATGATGTTTCTTGTGTTGTAACATTCCACTGAATATAACCGCATCCCTTATTGAGTTCTTGCACTCAGATATGTCAAACTTGGCACTTTTTTTGGCCTACTTTCAGTATTTTGAAAACATAAAAGGAATCATGAGATCACGTTGCTGTTTGTGTGTCTGTGTATGCTCCCTAACTCCTGAAAGCTATGTTAGTGGAGCAGAAAAATATCGCCATTACAATACCATATAGACATGTGACACGTGATGTGATGCCTAAAAGCTTGATCAGAGAAGTGCCACAGAGATAGGCGTTGCTAAGCAATGGCTTGGTAATTAGGTCTTCCAACTCAAGTTGTCCTCTCTATATAACTTTGGATTGGACTGCAGAGAAAACACTGCCTCCAAGAGTTTCTCTGTTAGCCTGTGGCTCAGTTGCTAAGCACTAGCTAGTGAACATGTTCTTGTGGCAACTAATACACCTGTAACATGAGGAGACCTGTTGGACTTATCATTTTCTATGGGGTCCTTGCCATATGAAAGGAAGCAGGTAATTAGTTTTTCCCAGAACTTCTTATACTGTTATTTTATACTGAGACATTTGATTTATTTATGTAACAGTGCTATTCCAGCCACTTGTGTTCATTAGAGTTTATAGCTTGGGTAAGAGATTGATGAATTGGAAGGAAGTGGTGTTATCATAACTTAAGATGCCTCTGTATTTGCTTGGAGAGACTGAGAAAAAGCATAGACTACCTCAATTATGATAGCTCAGTTGTAGTTCAAGATTTTAATCCAGATCCACTGAAATTGACGGAGGAACACTAAACATTCAACTATCATGTTACATAGAATGCATTTAGTATTCCTCTTACTAGTATATGTTTTGCCTGTGTAGGATTCTGGGGCCAAATGTGCTGGTGTGTAGCTCATTGGAAACTGCTCTTCAGAGACTGCAGGAGCCCCCACTTGCAGAAACTGTAGAGTCAGCATGGATTATAGGGGGCAGTTCAGTATACAAGGTTGGTAATTATTGTTTTTGTTAAAGGATGCTGTGACTTCAAGAGTTACAAGTGTAACACCCAGACTTTGCCTTAATCTTGCCTTGGACCTTCAAGCCTTGTTCAGTTTGCAAGCAATAAGTGAAGGGGTGAAGAAGGTTGCTTAGATCTTTTAGCAAAACTTTTCAAACAACCTACCCTTTTGAAAAAAAATAAGAACTGATGGTGACACTCAAGTCTTCCAGTATGACCAAGAAATGAAACATTGAAGCCTCAGGTGGAACAGTTCAGTCTCCAAATTCAGAGAAGAAACATGAGTGTCAGTACCATACTGGTCTGCTGTTTTGGTATCAGAGGAATTATCCACTGTTAATTTATTCCTACAAAACCGTCAAGATAGCATTCTGCCTCCATGTTTATAGCAGTGTATATCATTGGTCAGACAAGTGAATTTTATATCATAGTGCACCTTCCCACAGCATTTTTGCTAACAATTAAACATATTTATTTTATATATATCTTAGGAATAAAAAATATGGTCTAAGAAGTCAAAAAGTATTCACCAGCAGCCATCCGTATGTCAGACAGAAAGCACGGCACTGTTACATTGATCCAGTCACCTGTAAATTGTGTGTCATAAATGCATATTTGTTATCAGGAGAGAGTGATATGTATTGAGAAAATGTATGTTCCACGTCACATGATACTGGTCTTGCATACCAGTAACACAATGTTGCTAACTCTCTGGTCCTCAGAATCAGTTACATGTTCCACATGAAATCTCATACATGGCTTTAAGAACTTTATTTTTGCTGAAATGCATCAATTTCTGAGTCATTGATTTTGTTCAGATTTTCTAGAATGTTGACCGCTTTTGTGGCCTAGTTGTCAGAATTCCTGGCTACAGATCCAGAGGTCCCAGGTTCTATTCCTGGCGCTACCAGATTTTCTGAGGAATATTGCGTCTGGAACAAGACCCACTTAACCTCATGAGGATAATTGAGGAGCTAATTGAATGGAAAAGTAGCAGCTCCAGCCTAGAAAAACCGAAGTTAACGGCCATAGGAATTTGTTGCGCTGACCATGCAACACCCTCTATCTGCTAAAGTTGGCATTAACTTTGCCAACAAGCGGCGGTCGCTCAGTCGGTATAGTTCGCTTGCAGACTAAAGCCACGGAGTTTGTTTTTTGTTTGTTTTATCTATGATGTTATTTCCTTTATTTTTGAAAATGGATTTTGCAGTTTTGTTATGGACTGTGATAGAAAACTGACTGTAGGCCAAGTCAGTTTTTAGCATTTTCACTTCATTTGCTTGATTAAATATCCCATTCAGTATTGCAGTTAAGGAAGCATTCAGCCAGTGCTGTGGGACATTTGTTTTTACAGGAAGCAATGGCTTTACCTCAGTGCTCCCGTATTTACCTGACAAAAATCTTCAGGACTTTCAAATGTGATACATACCTTCCCAGGGTTCCAGAAGACTCTTTCAAGCGTATAAAGTAAGTTTCATATTTGCATTGCTGTTGGCATAACTGTCACCTGTTTATTCATATTGTGTGTTTGGTGCAGGATAGCAATGAAGGATTTTGAGCTGATAGTTTGTTGTTTTGCCACAAATTGTGAATATCAGAAAGCTGTTGATGAGGAGACTGCATTGAGAGCAGGGTCATGGAATGGTTGGTGAGGAGTGCAGAAAGAGAGATACTCAGGTCTCAAGACATGAACAGCACATGGTAACGGTTCAGAGGAGTGAGAGAACAGTATACATGTACTTGCTGCTGCTGGCACCACCACCACCGCTACTGCTGCTGCTGCTACTACTACTACTACCACCACCAGTGCTGCTGCTACTACTGCTGCTTCTGCTACTACTACTATCACCACTACTACTACTGCTACTACTACTACATCATCATTGTAGGGAATGACGGAATGTCAGTCTCTTGCGTTGGTTACATTCCACCCTGCCAAAGCTCTGATTTGTCTAAAAAAACCTGAAATGTCTGAACAAATTTTTTTTCTTTTCAACATTTGCTCATTTCTGAGATTTTTTGACATTATCTTTACTCAGGCTTTCTTCATGTTACATTTACAGTGAAACCTTGATCCATCATTCCCAGATGTACGTATTGCTTTCCAGGATCCATTATTCAAGTTCTGTAGTCCCTGAACAAATCCTATTTAAACTAACGAAATAAGACCTGCTTCAGTCATTCATCGATTTATTGTTTCCCCTCATCTTTTAGTCAGAATTTTTAGTTCCAAAGAACGTTAGTCCCAAAGCAACACCACACACACAATGTTAGTAAGCATCAGTGGTTGATGTTTTTGGAATGTGGTGTAGGAAGTTGCAGTTTTGGCGCTATACTGTTAGCTGTGCAATATGCCACCCTGAGTGCGCCTTACCTAGGAGACAATGAGCTGGAGGGGAAGGGGGCTGGCAATTTCCTGGTCAAGCTGGGAAAAGTTTCTCCTAAGTTAGTGTGAATCATTTCAGTGACATTTTAAAAAGAAGTACGAGTAATGCAAATTGAACAGGACAATTGAAATATTATCAGTGGTGTGCATTTCTTGATTCAGTAAGTACATATAAGCAAATGTGACCATTATTATTCATTTTATGTAGGCCCCTGCATCTGTCATTTTTTCGTATCCATCGGTTTTTCAGGACCCCCCTCCCCCCAAAGAAAACAATGAATCAGGGTTTTGTTGTATTTTGTTTTTTGTGTTCAGTTCATTTTCCAACTTACTCTGTCCAACTCATTTAACACCATATAAGTGACGCTCTGTGTTTGAAATCAGTTATTTGTGTTGCCAGATGTCTGGATTGTTATCTTTCTCTGTTGAAACTTTTAACCTGCATAAAGGAAACTGCATCTGCACTCTGCTATAACTTCAGAAACTTGTTGCAGCATATTGTGAATGTCCATGGCATTTTTCACCAATTTCACAAAAAATATGGCATTAATTTTCTGTTTTAAAACTGTTTTTCACATTTTTTTATGTGTCTAGAGACAAAAAGCAAATACAGGGGTTCCAAAAAAAGTACTCACTCTTTGATAGTCAATATCTTTGGAACAAAATGACATGTAGTTACAATTCTTGCGCGGTAGTGTAGTGTAATGTTTTCTCAACAGATGGCGAAGGTCACATGAGTCACGTGAGTGTCATGCCACATGAGTGCTGCAAGCAGAAGACAGTAGAAGCAATGGCTGAAAGGTTGTTCTTTGAGCAATGCAAGGCTGTATTGAAGTGGTACTGGAAGTACGAGAACATTAAGAGGTATGACAATGGCAGAATGAGTTCGGAACTCAGCCACCAACACATCGAACAATTGCCCGTATTCGGGATAAATTTGAGGCCGACAGTATTGTTCATGATGTGCATAAGCAAAGGTCTGGCGACCATGGATAGTAACAAGTCCAGCTTCCAGTGCTGTGGTGTTGCAACACTTTACACAATCACCGCAAAAAAATCTGTGGATCAGTGTGCACGCAAAAGTGGGGTAAGCCAATCAAGTGTACGGTGAATTCTGAAGCCTGCACACTGACAGCTGTAGTTCGCTGAGCAGTTCGGCGGCATTGACACTGTTTAGCTGCTGATGGTGGTCACTTCGAACACATACAATGACTCTCTCTCTTTCTGTGCAAGAATTGTACCTACATGTCATTTTGTTCCAAAGATATTGACTATCAAAGAGTGAGTACATTTTTTGGACCCCTCTGTATAAATATTGCCTCTGCAAAGGAAACCAGGTTCAGTTGAAATTATATTGTTATCCTATAGTTATGATTTGTACTGTCAAGTGTTGTAACTATGCCATCTCACCACTGCTGCCACCTGTCTAAGAAATAATGTCATTGTGATTAGTTCATGGGCAAGCATATACACAAAGGCAGTATAACCAAGATGCTTGTTCAGTGCTTGAAGAATCATGTTTCATTAATTATGAATTGGTAAGGATAAATTCATAGTTACAGGAAGTGTTTTCTGTTCCAGAGATCCAGATGTCCCTGATCAGGTGCAGGAAGAGAATGGTCTCTTTTATGAGTACCAGGTCTATGAAAGGCAAGAAGATGGCCCATTAAAACATGGAACTGAACTCTAGAAGGCAAAAATATTGCATGTGTAGAAAAAGAGCAGCAGTTGCTTCAGAATGAGAAGTAACAGGAAGAAGAGACACAGTAAAACTGGGAAAAGGAATGAAGTGTAGGTTATGAAGCAGGAGACTAAATAAAAATGTGTGCGTACATGTATAGTATTGTCATGTGTTAGTGACTAGACTTGGGGTTTGGATTGGTAACTGGATTTATTGAACACTTATAACTTGTAACTACAAGTAACTGAAACACTTTCACCGATCTATACACACTCTGTGGGTCACTACTTTAAACACCGAGTCTTCTGTCTTTCTTAGTCAGTGCTACGTGACAGATGGTAACAGTGGGACTCAGGACCCTTAACTGCCAGCTCTGGTCTTTGCCGTCACAGTCATTCCTGCCAGAAGTCAAAGTTACTTTACAACTGGCTGTTTACCACCAATAAGTGCCTCTTGACGCCTAGCCCCTTGAGACTTAACGACCAGAGATTTTTCAGCTGAACTATCACAGTCATAGTCCTTATGTAACATCCTCTTTGACGAGAAGCTGGGTGTGTCTCTTATGAATGTGCTTGGTCTTTTGTCAGTTGTACGTATCACACGTATAACATGTTATTGAAAATTCTCCCTTTGCACTATATGCAAGTCCTCTGTCAGTCCAGGCTGTAACCGTTCTTCTTCACCTCCAGCTGTACGTTGTGCTCCACTTATCCCTGACTTCTTGCCACTATGTTGATTGACACTCGTGGCTGCCTTTTCTTCGCAGAAAGCTTACACCACATGTTGGTCACCACTCGAGACTGTCTTTTACCCGACTTTATGGCACATATAAGTTCCTTTACATGTATGATTATTAGATGTCCCACAAGTAGGGAGAGTTCTAGGAAGCTGGGTTTGACTTTCTAATGGGTAGAGGTGAGTTCTCATCTAGGGTCGTACGGGCCTGGCTCGAGCAGGGCAGGAAGATCCTTATGATACAATCACATACACTTCAAGACTTTTGCACTTCCATAATTATTTAATTAACTTCAGCTCACTGAACACAATGTAAACTCAAATAGTTACACTTATTTGGATTGGGCTTGTAATACTTCTAGTGAAGTGACATAGTTGTGTTTTTGTGTCTGACTTGGCCAAAAGTTGAATGTAGACTGCCTGAGGTAGAATCATCTCTCTCCGAACCCTGAGGTCCATGAACCACAGACTCCAAGAGAAATCCACTCCTCCAACATGTGCCATTGGTTTAGTTTGAAAACTAGGAGGTTCCCTAAATTTGTGAATTCCCAATCATGTTGCTTTGCTATGTGATTCTAGCAGTTGCTGACCTGATGCTAAGGTTGACAGCGACATGATGTATTAAATCAGGGGATGAGGCTCTGGCCCTCCCACTTCTGAGTTATGGCTGTTCCAAGCTGTCAGCTCTCAAATTCTCAAAGACTTTCCAACTCTGCTGAAAGGGCCAGAATTCCAGGAAATGTACCAGATGTTACTTCCTGTCCAGATAGCAAGACTTGAACTACGTCACTTCTGAATGTAAAAAGTTGGCTATCTGCCAGATCTCTGTTTGTATATTATGTGATCCTAACTTAATATAAATTTAATTAATACAAAAGGGTCCACCAAATTATGATGAACAGTTACAAGGCTTTGCAAAGCCGATCATGCATATCTTACTTATGTTACAATGGAAGCTTAGTCATTTGAATGTTCGTAATTTTGACCACCGCCAAGTTTAGTCCTTTAATATTTTCTGTGTGTGGCTTCGCCTTGTCCTATACTGGATATGTTCATTCTTATGATTTTGTATACCTGCTGCTTGTTGCCTGCACAATTTTGTTATATAATTGTGTACATACAGAAGGTTGAAAGCTGTATGCAAATTGCAGACCAGTGTGCACCTTGAAAAATACGCAGTGATGCGAAGAACCTCTTTTCTTTTTTTTTTCTGCAATTATAAGAGGTAGGTGTCTGCTACTAAATAAATAGATTGAGCAGGACATGTTATAAGGAGAGAAAATGAAAATATGAAAAGATTAATGATTGTAAAACCAGAAGGGAAAAGGAAGAAAGGTAGACCATGAATGAGATGGATGGATGGATGGATGGATGGTGTTGAGAAGGATTTGAGGAACTTGGGTATAGTAAATAGGAAAGCAAAGGCACAAGAGAGGGATGGCTAGAGAAAGTTTTTAGAGCAGGCCAAGGCCCACAAAGAGTGGCAGTGCGAACAACAACAACAACAACAACAATAATAATAATAATAATAACAACAACAATAATAATAATAATAGGTGTCTGCAACTAATTCCCAGGCAGGGCAAGCATAAGTCATCACTGATCTGGTCGCTGCCTTATGGAGGGTTAGTTTAATGTTGGCACTTGTACACTCACTTCTGAGTAGGGAGTAGATTCTAATAAATGTTCTGAAGACCTTGGCTTCAGTCATTTCTATATGAATTCTCCCTGTAATACTCTTATGGAAGATTACAGCAAGATATTTTACATGCCTGACAAAGGGGATATTCAATCCATTCACTGTAAGAGGAGCCTCAGAGGGTCTAAGTCTGTCAGAAAATTAGGTGGTCTGTGTGTTTTCATTGATTTTTATGTTCCAGTGCTCACACCACACCTCAATAGCACTGAAACCTCACCGAAGCTTTTTGAGAACATAACCCTCTTTGGGGTCTGTTGTATATATATACAAGTGTTATCAGCAAATGTCGTGTATTCTGGGTCTTGCATTACTTAAAAGACAGGTTTTGGATTTGAAGATCGAATTTATTGTACCTTCATACAGCTTGGTTACAACAGTTAACAAATCACTATCGGACACTGTCATCTACTTCGACTGTACACTCCACTGGAACTATTCTGACTTCTGACTGCTCCAAATCAACTGCTATAAATGACCTTCCATGTCCTTTATAAACCTTCGGCGTGGACCATGCACAGAAGATGCATCCACCGCCCAGCAACGGACATCCTCCATTTTTTTGCATATCTGCTGTTGCAGGAACATGTTTATCGAGCTGTTGCCCTAGTTCTACAGACTTGTAAAAGTGGAGATATTTTTCACGGATATACTTGGTTACTGTGAACTAGCATTTAAACAAAAAATATGGCATTAAACAATAAGTTTAAAGTAATAGAAATATATTTTTGTATTTATTGTAATAATGATATCTGTTAAAATACTTCTGAAGATTATTAATGATGGCTTTCAGTTAAGGAGGTTGGAGGTTTATTGAGTTTATATAGAGAAGACTGAGAGAAGAGGGTCATCAATGGAGGCTTCCTGAGCCTTCTTCAACGAAACTGGTTGTGGGTGATGTTTATGCATCCTGCAGCTATTATCATTAAATTCCTTTCATGCAGAATGTATGAGGAATAAATGCTATGATGGCCATGGAACATGCACATCTGGGCTAGTTGTTGGGATGTTTATAAAGCCAATTTTATGAAATGTGACCACTGCTGAATAATTGATTTACAGATTCGGTTTTATAATGTTTATAATGTAATTAACTAAACTAACTTCACGGAGCTGAGCCCTTCTTGAGAAGCCACCAGTTGTGTGCAGCTACCCAAGAACTTCCCAGCATGTTGTGGAACCTGAAGGTTTATTGCCGTGTTCAAAAGAGGTGTCCACTTGTCCTTATCCTGAGCCAGATCAGTCCAGTCTATACCGCCCCATTCTGTCTCTCCAAGATCCATTTTAATATTGGTCACCCACCCATGTCTTTTTCTTCCTCATGGTCTCTTTCCATCTGGCTTTCCCACCAATAAGTACTTATAATATATCTTTTACATTTACATTCATAATACAGTGTACTCATTCATGATAATGTTATAGTAGTTGAGTAGAAAAATTTAAACACAGCATTGTATATATGATAGATGAAGTTGTCCCCTTGCTTGACTACTTAATTACAGGGACAACTTTACCTATCATATACACAGGGCTGTGCTTGCTTAAACTTTTCTGTTTAATTAGTAAAGCACTATGTCTTGAAGTCATATGTGGGAATAGATGTGTAAATCCATATATTCTTGATCTTGGCATGTGGACAGCTTCATGCCCTGAATTAGTCTGGATTATGAGAAAAAGAAACAATGTGTATGCCAAGTATACTCATACATGTGAAACTACATTTCATTTGAAAATTGTTTCTTTGTGGGGACTGATACCAAAAATATAAAACAGTTGTAAGGGCATGTGGTTAATGGATATTTCTCTGCAAGATGTGCCAAGCTGAACATGTGTAGTGAGGTCATGTACATCTGCTCTGTCACTGTTTTGGCTCAAAGGCTAGTCTGCAGATTTTTCAGGAATTTCATGATGTTTACTTCATAGAATGTAGAGCTGTTTAGATTTTCATAAACAATATCAGAAATGTCCACTCTGTTAGAAAGAATTATGCAAAGAACATGTGAAATCTCTGTACTGTGGAGGGTTGTATATTTCCAGTCATGTTTCAGTTGTCTAGCATAAGAATGATATTGGGCAATTTGATGTGCTGGATGTAGCTTGGCCATAAAGAATGAATAGCAGTGGTTTATCTCACAGAGGTTAGTTTTCGACATTTAATCATGGTATCATGTCATTATGATGTAAGGGGAATGGATGGAAGATTGTTTTATTTAGGCAGAAGATTAAGGTGAGTGCTCAGTTTCATGCTGTGGCCAATTGTGCCAGTTACATAACTAGTGGTTCCCAAAAAGTCTGGCGTTGCAAACAAACATTGCCATTATCTGGGTAGAAAAGTAAGCAAAGCAAGACAGTGATACCCTCTGAAACGTCGAGATTTCCGGATGTATACAGCTTTAAATCCCCCCCTCCCCCCAAATGACGTACTCTTCATAGCTATATTTACTGTAAATCCACCGGGATTATTCATGTTTGACACTTATTCTGTGTAAATTAAGAAAAGTATTTTTTTATTTTGCTTTGTCCGTAGGACTAGAAAGTTTTAAATGCAGAGAAGTGTTAGCAAATGCGTCAAATAATAAATTACGCATATTCGGTATACTGTTCTGTGCCCTGATGCGTATAGTATGTCAATATCTAATTCGACATTTTTTATATCGTGTGGAGTTTTATGTGTTCGCGCGCGCGCGCGCCTATTGTCAGTGTTGTGAGTTCTGAACGGTTCTGAATACCATAAAAAAGTTGCATTGTGGTGCGTAGTAACTAATACTTATACGAAAATGAGTACGGAGGAATGCTGTTGAATTTTATACACGGTTCCATCGATTTATTATTATTTTATGTTAGGTCGATTTTGTGTGTCGCAGTTTATTGTATCAGTTGCTCAAGTAGTTCAACGTTATATAGGTTAGAATGCTTGGTGTTTTTAACTGTAGATATGTAATCTGAATCCGATGACAGGTTAGGGAGTGGAACGTTCACGAGTAGCGTGATTGGAATCTTTCTTACTTTGTGAGGAAACATTTCACATTCAAAAAGAACGAAAACTGAAAAAAAAAATTGTTAAATAGTTCTATAGACTTGTAGACACAAAGACAAGTTTCGTAGTTATTTAAAGTCGGGTTTTTTTACTTGAAACGTGGACTCTCTCGACCGTATAAAAGTGGGTTTGGAGTGGCGTTTCACAAACGGTGTTCCATAAGAAAATTCCCTTGCAACACAAAATGATTTAAATATTATGAATAATTTTTCATTTAGGAGCTTCATCAGATTAGAAGTGTCACTGTAAAGGAAGTAAAGAACTAAAGTTGAATTCTTGTCACAAAAGAAAGATTTCTTCGTCAGCTGATAACCTTGGCCAGTACATGCTTGTGCGAAACTGGATTTTTTAATTATGGAGCAACAAAGCAGAATACAGAAACATTTAATGAAGCGCCAGATTTGAGAAACTCCATTCTTTACACTGAAAAATGTAAATGTTTGCTTGAAGTTAATTTTCTGTATACCTGAAATTCGATTTTTTTAAGTATGTGCAAGTAATACCCTGATCTCAACCTTGTTAAACATTTATGTATTATCCTTACATATTTTTTATTTTGCTTCCTATATAAAATTGGGCAAGGGACTCCATAGAAACGTTTCGTATGCGAAAGGGTTGCGAGATGAAATTAAATTGGGAAACACTGGTTTAGAAAAAAAAAACATGGTATACAAAGCGAACTGCCAGCATTTGCATGACTCGCGTGCTCCAAAAGTTAAATACATGTCAATTTATATTTATTTCCAAGGACTCTGCTTCGAAATTAATGCCATAACCCTGTCGAAAAAAAGAAATGGTTCAGTTGTCCCCGTTCTTAATCACGACGCCATGAAAACATAATTGGACAGTAGAGGGATAGTTCCAATACTACTGATCTTTTTTTTTATTGCTAGTGTGGTGGCACCAAGTCCCTTGTACTGCGGCCACTTCTGGCCTATTGTACCAGTCTCAGATGATAGGTGAGGGCGATTGTGGAGCAATTGGTGGAATGAAGACTGGCAGAGGAAACCGAAGTACTCTGAGAAAACCTGCCCCTGCGCCAATTTGTCCACCACAGATCCCACTTGACCGAACCCGGGCCGTCGTGGTGGGAAGCCAGCGACTAACCGCTTGAGCTATGGCGCGGCCCCTCCTGATCTTTATACTAGATAGAGATTAGTGATCAGCTTCGCGCCCCGGCCACTTTACCCCCAGGGTAAGAACTTCGAATACCCATTTCGTAGGAACCTAGGTGGAGTAAAGAAAAATCTCTTACCGCCAGTCAGAATCGAACCCGACGGTCCAGCCCAACAATATCAAGAACATGCTCAAAATAGTGTGCCCATTCTGCTAAAATTTCTAGCAGTCCTCGATCGTGGGCGCGTAACTCAATAAAGAGAATGTTTCCAGCTACACTTCCTTATTTTAATTTTCAGATACGATAGAGAATCTGACTGGAAGGTGCGGCAAAACTTTGACCACTAGTTCCACATACAAAAACAAGAACAGAAGGTCTATATCAACACGTGTCCGTAAACGTTTAATTTGCGAGTTTTAGCTGAAAGAATTCCGTCGTGACCTATTCAGATGCTTTGCCGGTGTTTTCAACGAAGTTCTGAGAATGTCTTAGTTTCATCGGTGGTGCTAAGAGATGAGACACATCTTACAACCAACACCAGTGGGTGGAGGAGAATCCTGTTGGTGTAATCCATTCGAGACACCAGCAGAAGTTGAACACCACCGAGATTTATTCCTGCATGATCTGCAAGAGCCACTGGAATATGTCCCTCTGGCAGTCAGAGCACGAATGTGGTGCATGCCTGAAAGAACTCCGGCACATTTTAGCCGTGCTGTGCGAGATGCTTTTAATAACACGTATCATGACGGTTGCATAGGGAGAGAGGACCTACCTCGTGGCCCTCAGCGTATTGTGGATGCATGCCAGACTATCAGCAAGTGCCCCGGCATCTTTGCACGGATGCGGCGGTCCGTGATGAGACGTGTCAAGGCGTGCATTGAATCTCATGGAGGACATTTTGAGCACTTATAAATGTACTCTTTCACGTATAACTCACAAATTAAATGTTTCCGGACACATATTGATATGGGTAATTCTTGTTTTGGTACGTGCAACTCGTGCGAAAAGTTCATTCGCCCCTTTCATTTTACACTCTGTATAAGCTGCGGCAGTAATTATTGTTCGTGAATATGGAAGTATCCGTCAACAGGGAAGACAAAGTTGTTGCTTTGGTGTAAACAGGCAAGTGTCATGGTACTAGGATAGCGGAATGCTGTAAGGTTCGCGACGTCAACTTGGTCGAAACCCACTTTTACACCTCTCGAAATGGGAGCAGCAGTGATATTAACGGTGACAGTGATAATGGTACGTAGATTTCTGTGTTTAGTAACGCGTAAACTGAGAGTGCTTGCTGCGTACAGATCTGGACATGAAAAGAAAATTCTATCACCAATCCAACTGGAAATAGGTAAGTGTCTTTATTCATTGCAATTGTACAATTTGTACAAGTGAACCTGCTCTTCAGAATGGAAAAGAAATTTCGGTCACTATGTTAAATGGCGTGTTTCTTTTCTTCAGACTTATCAAATAAGATGTAGTGATTATTTATGAAATTTTAAAGAAAGATTCAATGAGCTATCCTTGATCTATTCGTAACACGTCACGGAACATTAGTCTCATGATTACGTTTGAAAGGTTAATATTCAGTTCACTATGGATAATAGGCCCTGTCTTATCCGTTTGGCCACAACTAGGTTTAATTAACAGAGAATCCGCATTGTACGTTAGCTACCCGTCCGAGGGCGACATTAAAAACAAATTCTGAGCAGAAGTAATCGCCCACTCTCTAAAGATGCCAAACGGACTGCCTAGGTAAGAACCCGTCCATTCCATGTGTGTTCATGGTGGTGGTAACGTTTTTACCTAGCCGTTGCCTAGCAGCGATAGGGGGCACACATTCAAACACATGGGCTCAGATGCCATGATATACGTACGAAGTTTCATAAAGACTGGTACAGGCATTCAAAAGTTGATGGGGGGAAGGGAATCGCAGACAGCATGGTGATCTCATAAACCTACGTTAATTTTTTCTCAAAATAAGAAAAGTATGTTAAAATATATGTATAAATATTTTAACAATTGCCTAGCGACGATCATTTGTATAAAACTATTTATTTTTAAATTTGATATATTATAATGTTACGTACCCAGAATTAGAGAAACCGTAATTTTGCTTCTGACCGAGCAAGAAACTGATATTAGAATTGCTTTTATCGTGAGCACTGCAGACTAGAGGAACGTTCTCCTGTACAATTGCAAATCTCGGTTGTAGCAGTCGAAGTATTTGAGAACTAGATTCATGTTTTGGTGAACAAACTCCGTAGCCATCAGTCCGCAGGCGAACTATACCGAAAGAGCGACCGCCACCTGTCGGCGAAGTTAGTGCCAATTTTTTGCGGATAGAGGGTGTCGCGTGGTCAGCGTAACGGATTCCCACGGCCGTTAATCTCGGTTTTCTATACTGTAGCCACTACTTCCTAGAAATAGCTCATCATTTATCCTCACGAGGCTGAATGACCTCGTTCCAGACCCACTACTTCTTAGAATATCTGGTAGCGGCAGGAATCGAACCCAGGACCTCTGCATCTAGATCCAGGAACTCTGCCCACTAGACTACAGAGACGGTCTCTCTTAGTGAACAATAATATCGAATTCTTATGTACAACGTGTCTTCACCGAATAGTACTTAATTTAGAACAGGAAAACCACCTTTGTCTTTTTCTTGTCGTAAATCTTCCAACACGCCCACACGAAATGACTACAAATGATTATTTTCAGAGCGAAATACACTTAATTTATTTAAGTAGTCCCTACTTAATGAACTTAATGAACACATTATTTTAAGAGCCGCCTGGCTGTTCTTCATAAAAAATGTATGTCGAAAATATCGAGCAGCTGTCATATTTGACGACTCGTTTCACTCTACTAGCATTCTTATGGGGGCCCAACTTAAGCGTCTTACGGAAAAGCTTAACAAACAGCCAACGTTTCCTTTCTGCACGTCGTGCTTAGTTCATAGAAAGTTTTATATTCTTTAATTCAACGCCACAGCACCAACTGGAAGTGGTACACTAACTGGGTAGGACCTAAGGTTCAACAGAACGTGATAATACGATTAAAAGAGCCGAAACGCATCTTAGGCCGAGGGAACACCAAGGAAACTGGCAACCGCAACGCAACCGCGACTTCCGAGAATTGTTATCAGCCTGAGTTGAACACATGTTAGTGACTGGAGCAGCGAAACTTGAGGAAATGGCAACGCAACTCGCGGAGAGACTGATAAACTCAGTTTCCAGGCAATGGAGCATGCCAGTCTTCTCACAATTGCGTTGCCGAGTGGTTTCCTAGTATTAGCTGTTCTGTAACGCGCTTCAGTGATTCATTTGTTTGTTAAGGTGGCACGAAGAGTTAATGAAGCTGCTAATTTTGTTTTTGTGCAGTTAATTGAGCAGGAGCCTGGTATGACAAACGCCACTCAGACTATGATAGGCGGGACAAAATGGATTTGGCTTGGGAAAGAATTTCTCATGAGACGAAGGAGTCTTGATCCAGGTTAAGTTCTTTCGAAACAATATAAGAGCTACAGTTTAAATTTTCACAGAAGAACGTATGCATCCAATATTTTCTTTTCCTAAAATTGTATTAAGCATCCTGTTGCATTAATATATCATTTACACGTATTTCCGCCTTAAATATACCTTATTATATAGTCACCCCTCTTCCATGTTACAAGGTTCGTCTGTATACGGCCATCATCATGTGTCTTCTATCTTGCTAAAATTTGTGCACTGTATGTCAAAATTTCGTATCACGCGTGAACGCGTTATTTCCTGATTAAAATAAATTGACCTTAATTAAAACAAATTAATTAACATCCCAATATTTCCCTTATGGTCGTCATCCTCTCTTCTCACGCCGTCTCAACCGATCTCAACTGTCACCAAATTAGGCAATATCAATATTATTATCTTACATTGCAGAAGGCAAGTGCACGAAATTAAAAAATACCGTCATGCATTACGTCGGACGAACATACCCATTTAAGATGATGTGAGCAACTATTCAACCATAAGTTTCCTGATTGTGCGCCTGCTAACCTGGAAAGCAATTGCCTGCTTGAAATTGGCAACATTTCTCGGAAATTGCGGTTGCGTTGCGATTGCCAGTTTCCTTGCCGTGCCCTCGCCCCTGCAGTTTCCTTGTGGTCGTCGACAGCTCTTCTGGGTGAATATCTGGGTAGCAGTCATTAGCATCATTCCCTCAATAAGCTGCCTTCAGTGCTATATTGCTGCTGCTGCAGCTCAGAAACGAGAAGGTGGATCCATCATTAATCTTCCAGTAGTTCTACGCACAATAGTGGACTATTTCGTCTAAAATTCTTCTTAGGCCACAAGATAGAGTTGGCAGTGACACCCTACCACTTAGATTAGCGGCACTGCTGACATTTTGAGGTGGAAACCACATACTCTACCGTCCTATGGTTTCCACCTCAAGAAGTTCTCATCTAACAGGTTGGTGTGGGGGTAACGCTTTAGACATACTCGGTTCGAATCCTGGTCGGGACGGCGGCTACCCTGACACAAGTTTTGCTAGGTCCCTGCACGCGAATACCGGTAAAGTACCTTGACTAGGCAACGACCGCATTATTCCCGATCCTTTGCAACTCATCATTCAGACGTCATCCTACCCTGTCAAGCTACATACATAGCCTCAACACTGAAAGGAAAACTACTGAAGAAGTCCTCACATACTTGTATTCTGTCTACCTTCTTGTTCGCGTTTATAGGCCTTGCCGTTAGTCGACGAGTTGGTCGAGTCCAGTCCACGAACAAAGAGAAAGACTCTAGGGCGTGTATTGTTTATAACAGGACGTAGTTCTTCCCTCCCAAACTGCAGTTTCAACCACTGACTAACCACTTGTATCCTCATTTCTCCCCACGGCCAACCCTGAGGCCAGGTCTAAGGATACGGTCTGTATGCACCTACCGAGCAGGGTGGATTACCTCGTATTCAAGAGGTGCAGGATTCGAATCTCGGCCGCGACACGGATTATCCTGATTGTAGTTTCCTGTGGATTTTCCCAGTCCCTTCAAGCAAATGGACCCCCTCTGTGGTCTAGTGGTCAGAGTTCCTGGCTACAGAACCAGAGGTCTCGCGTTCAATTCTCGGCGCTACCAGATTTTCTGAGAAGTGGTGGGTCTGGAACGGTATCCACTCAGCCGCGTGAGGATAACTGAGGAGCTATTTCAAGGAAATGGCGGCCGTGTGGAACCGTTGCTCTGACCACGCGACACCCTCTCTCAGCAAAAGTTGGAAGTAACTTCGCCGACAAGCGGCGGTCGCTCTGATATTATCTCCTCATTTTCGCCTACTTTTTGTAATTGGGTACGCCCATTCAGAGGTATGAGTTCTCATCCTGGCGAATATGAAGAATACGGTCTTCGGTGATGTGATGCCGTGCGGTCTGGCTAATAGATACCAACTTTTAGAATGAATCTTCTTCCTCCATCGTCAGGTTACCCCGCACTTCACGGCACCACGTCCCAGAAAACTGTAATCTTCAAGTTCCTTGAGGGGTTTTTTTTCTTACCAAATTCTGCATACGTTTCTAATTTCCGCCATTTGCATTTGCTTCTTCTGGAGAACACATAAAATGGAAATTCTAGACACTATAGCAGTGTGTGATAAGAGAAGAATACAATGAAAGCATGTAACATTTGCTGTTTATTTATGTTATCTGAATACAACTCTCCAAGCTGCTAAGTCTGACATTCAACATCGAAACACACAGAACAGGGAGGCACCCGCATTCATGCATGCGCTGACACAAACAGTATTTACAGTTGTTATGATACATTTGGCGTGGCTGAATCCCTTCCTTCAGCCGGCCATCTCATTTTAACTGGAAGACATGGAATGTTGTTTCGAGGTTACCTCGAGTCTAATATTGCTGGAACATTATCATTTGTACATTGTGTTTATATTAAAACAATACAACGCATTATAATTATTATAAAACCAGCGAAATAAGAAATATGGTAAGCTAAATAGAAAAATACTTTGAAAGCTATGTACACAGTGTTCATACCTTGTCAGTACTAATAAGAAAGACTCTTTCATAAACGATCTGAGGCAGTTAATTTTTTCTTCCCTCCAAAATTTACGTAATTTGCTAGAACGAAGTATCTGTTTAGCAGAATGTTTCTAGCAACGACAATCACCAGATTAGTGCGTCCACTTAACAGAACCTGATAATGACAACTATAAAAAATTCTTTATGTTGGATTTAAAAAAAAGTGCTGTTTTCTCAACAGTTTTAGAATGCAAATGTTCCTCTTCGCAACCATAAACATATTTTTTTACTCAGTTCGCATATCTAACGAAGTAAAATGAACATAAAATTTTCTCTATGTTGTTTGTTCAAATTTTAGAATTTTACTTCCAAACAGCTGTCTTCAAACGCAGTTATTACTAACCGTCATAAAAGAATTTAAATCTTATCTAGCCCGAATTATTTAATTATCGTTGCACTTATAACACAGAAAAAAGATTTAAGAAATATTATAGTAAAACAAAAATGCCTAGGAATAATTATTTGGTTGCGGGCTATACTGCAGCAGGTTTAATTTATTTTGTCCAGACGGTTTTCTGGATAGAGAGAATTCCCTGTATGCAAACTGGCCACAAGGCGAATTCCTGCAAAATTATTGCTGTGGAGATTTATATTTTCCTTAACTTCTTTGGCATATTTAGTCTGCTATGGTAAATTATAAATTTTCGCAGCTATCACGGGTAAAAGTAGCGCGATCGAAATGCGATATATTCTTAATTACGGTGTTAACTGTATACATTCTCTTTGTTAATCTTCTTGAAGCTTTCACAGCTACACATCTCTAGTTTTGGCTGCCTTCTTATGGCAGTCGATAACAGAATAATTAGGCCCCGCGAATACTAATTTTTAGAAGTCGAGATGACTTCTGTTGCGATCTGTAGGAACGATTTGGAGACTTCATAAATACTTCCGCCTTCTGTAACTAGCAGAGTGTCGGGTCTAAGGTAGACCTCCAAAGCTGAAGAGAGAAATTCTGGTAATTTGCTGCCTGGCCAGGTCTATTGCCTACCTTAGGAAGTGGTAAAAATAAGCACGGAACAACGGTAGAATTATGATTATAAGGGAAAAAACGAAAAACTTGGAGAAAAACATGCCTAATTGCTTTTTTGTCCACGAATCTAAAATGAAGTCACCCGGAATTGAACCAGAGGCGAGCTGTAAGAAGCCGGCTTCTGATCTCCTGAACTATCTCACAGTCTTTACACTGGATGTAATTACAGTAAGACAACTATGTTAAATTATGAAAAATTCAAGTACCAGCTTTTCCCATACATAATGTGGGAAGCCCTTTGCCAGTTCAGATGTTACAATGTCACCTTTAATGCATTTAAGAAGATAACGGAAGTTTTTAAATTAATCATTTAAATACGTCCCATTCCTTGTACTGGTTGATTTTAATTTAGATATTTTTACAAGAAAATATGGTGGTCAGGCGTCAGAAGTCACTGTTTACTTTTAGGCATCCGTCAGACTGAAGTTTGGAAATACAGGTAACACCACTTATTTCCGTTGGCCGCTGTCTCCTTGGTTACAAATTTATGCATTTCGTTTAATTTTGATTCAGTAAACAACAGACCGTTTCATAATATCTTGCTTCTGGCTAGCAACGATTGCGGCACTGCTCACGGAAGCCAAGGACATATCAGTGACCTCTAAAAGACAAATATTCAGGGTCGTAGTGAACGAAGGAGCAGTCGGGGCGCCTGCCGCAAATTTCTGAGTTAAGCTTAAATCAAGTGGGCTATCCGGTGAGTTCGTGATGTCGTTATGCAGCGTCGAACTCAATACGGTAGCATTAGTTCAATTTCATGAGTTCAGTAAATGTTCTGGAGAGGTTTAATAGGACTGTCATTTCAATAAGAGGTGATCTGCCATCCTCTGTATAAAATCGTGTACTAAAACAGCCTGTGATTGAATCCATGTCTAATCCTGTGATTTTCAAACCATACCGTGAATAGGATGATGAAATCAAGGGGATTGAAATGGCCCGGACACGTAGCACGCATGGGGAGCTCAGAAATTTAATCATAATATTGACATGAGAGACTGAAAGGAAGAAATTACTTGGAGTATCTAGGACGACTTGCGCAGATACCGTTACAGGGGGTCCTAAGTAGGTTGTGGAATAGATTTATTCGGCTTGGGACAGGGATAAAAGTAGGTCCTTGTGAGCATGGTAATGAATGAAAGATTTGAGATTTTCACGGCGGTGACTATGAGTTAACCGACATTTCGGAGGAACGTCGGTTAACACAATATCTACAGAGTGCCACATCTCAGAAGACCGCATTCTTCATAGTAATGAATATTTACTTTCTTAAAAGTCGTGGAATTTCTTAGCTAGCTTAGTGATAGCTTCTCAAGAAGGGCTTTCCTCAACGTTGTAGCGAATAGCACTACCAAAAGAAGCGCAAAAGAATTTAATTCATCTTGCCCAAATGAAGAAGAAGGAAGCATGTCTCTGTTCAGAACAAGAAAAATATCCGCAAAGTTTTTCAACTATCAGTCCAATTGCTCATCCATTGATTTCGTAGTGAACTTCGATTTGCAGATAACTTTAATATAAATTAAACATTTATGATAACTTTTATCAATAATTTAAGTCCGCAAATATTTTGCTACATACAGGAGGCTTTTTAACCAATAAAAGAGTAAAAATAAGTAGCGGTATCCCTGTAACAGGCCGTGAAGGCCCATAGGGTTGTGAGATGTTGAGGGTCCCACATTTTCTAGGCAATCGGCTCACAGATGGCGGTAAGGTTGTCAGCCTTACGCGCCGGCCGCCCTTTACCCCCAAGAATATTCCTGGTACTCATTTCTGTTAGAGGCTGAGTCGACCCAAGGGCCAGAGTAAATTGAAAAAAATCCACCTCATCGGGATTTGATCCCGCGACCTTCCGGCCTGTAGCATAGTGCCTCAACGAACTACGCTACCGCGTGCCCCCTTTTGTCAGCCAGTACTGCTTTCAAATCATGATTCATTTGTGACTGAACGGGAAAATGAAAGGGTGAAATCAATTGCTGACTAGGAGGATAAGTCTAAACAACATTATGAAACCATTGCGAAAAAATGCGTACGTGCATGCGGTGAATTCAGGCAATATTTATATCAACTTACATTCCAGGAAAACTGATTATCCCCGTATGTATACACCTACTGTAAAGTCCACAAAATTTTAAAACTTCCTTTGAAATTCCAGCATGTGTTATGACCATAGCCAAACATCTACACCCGCGAATGTCTTTTTCATTTTAAACTGAAGTTACATATTCAAAATAACGAATAGGGTATTGACGTGACTGTATTCAAGTTCCGCTATTTAAGCAAACATGGAAGCACACTAAAATACACACACATATCCACGTCGGCGCGATTCTGAAAGACAGTTCTTGGATGTTCAATTTTTAATCATTCTTCCTTACTTATCCAAGACCTATTAAGTTTCCTTTCTTATATTATGTATTTAATAGAAATATTATGACGACAATTTTTACTGTGTGTTAGGGTAGACCTATTGGCTTTGGAAAACATACCCCCTCTTTTTCCCACTCCGCGCGAACGTGTTTCAGAATTATCTACAATTAACAAAGTGAATGCATATTAACACCCTAGTTTTGTTTTAGTTGCAAAATAGCACGTCTCAAGCGGCATGTGTTACGTTAACAATGTTAGTTCTTTACAAGAACAGAGGTCGTTGTGTCTTCCTAACAAGCTACAAATTGTAAGGGGAAGGACAAATTATATATATATAAAAAAGAAGCTAAGCTTTAAGCGTTTAAAAATAAATTTCCAAACTAGTTACAGCTCATCTTTGGTTCAGTTAGGTCCCATTTTGTTTAATTACAATGTACAATAGGCCGTAATGGCAAGCAAATGGTATATTACACAACAAATAACTCAGACACAGGAAGGAAAAATAAAGTGTGACTCTTGTGGTATTTTCATAACTTCGCAAGGCCATGTAAATATACAGAATTGTACTTCCTTTTCTACAGGCGGAGGTTCCCAAAATGTCTTTTGCTGTATGTTATTATTACATGCCTTAACTGACACCTATTATAAATTTAACTTCATTATCTTCTGTCTAGAAAACCGCGATTAACGGCCGTGTGGATCCGTTGCGCTGACCACGTGACACCCTCTATCCGTAAAAGTTGGCACTAACATCGCCGACAAGCGACGGTCGCTCGGTCGGTATAGTTCGCTTGCGGACCACAGGCCACGGAGCTTTTTATCTTCGAATTATTCAGAAGAGCACTGAAACTTTCTGAATTAAAATGAGCCTTCTTAAGGACAGGCAGCTGAAACTTTGTGAGAACCTCTTCATAATAACAACCTCTATGTTGAAATGTACATAACATTATTGCGCGGCTACACATTGGAATGTTGAGGCTACTTAACCGTTACTTAGTATTTTGCTTTACTTTAATGTATATTATCCTCCTATAAATTACAGTATATATATTTATCTATACATGTATATACTCTCAATATGAATAACATCGACATGAAATAACAACAGCTCTGAGTTTCTTCATCATCATGATAACAGAATAACAGCTAGAATATTGTCGAACCAGCGTGAAATGTCCGTTACGAGACACTTGTGAGAACTTATGTACATCTAAAACATGTTTCCAAAATCAAAATCAATGAATATCATCGTCGCATTGGTTATCTCTCCTATATATTTTACTTATCTACGTATAAATACATCAGTACTTATATACAAATTGACCGTTCGGTGGATTCTGGGACGGCACCCACCATTTACTATACAACAGTTAGAATAATATTCTCTTAATCAAATTGTTTTTCTCTTAAAAAATAAACAACTATTCTCATACCAACACAACGTCAATAAACTCCCCTAAGCTTGAAACGACGTATAAATTGAATTGAACATACTTGTATCTTCATATAATATCTCATAGATAGACTATATTTGAAGTTACTACGTCCCAGGTGTTATAAGATTCAATTCATTGAACAAGAATTTTCTTATTGAAATTTATTCGGTAGAGGTGCCACAAGATTTCTTGAGCCCCATGTAACATAAATCATTCCTCGGGGTGTGTTTAAAATTGTTTATAGATGGAATTATAACACCTCTATTTATTATGAACCAACTTTATATTATATATTAAGACATTTAAGGCATTTACACATTTAAGTAACTTAAAATTGAGACGTGGACTTGAAACATGACATCTGCCTTCAACAAAGGAAAAGTAAATGACATATTCTAGCAATATATAAACTCTGCGTGCGATTTTTGCCAAAAAAAAATAATAATGTCCCACATATTAATCTAAAATTTGTTTTAAGTCCTGTTTAAGCTATGATTGAGCTAATTGGACGGGACTTCTAAATTTACGCAGAGGATAAGTGCTTGTGATATGACATGAATAATTTGAATATACACCGAAACCTTTGTAGTGCTTCTAACCCAAGCCCTGGGTACAGACAGCACATCCCGGAGATATGTGTTTACGTACTAATATTGCACATTTGAGCTCCCACGTCTGAAGACTTTAATAATGAAGTACCAAAATTAGTGCTGTTTACAAAATAAGCTTCCTGAGAATAACAAAAAGAAGGCATGTCCACTGCCATATGTTAAGCAACATTGTTAACTAATCCAAAAAAAAAAGACATGTTGCTGAGCAAGTTAAACTTCCAGCTGTGGCTAGTTTGTTGCAAACAAATGAAGGTAAGATGGAATCTATCCGTTGGTAAAATGGCAGCTGCTCCAAGACACGCCTTTGTAAGACGAATTTAAGCTTAACAATCACTTTAAGACTTGATCTGCAATTTGTTGGTAAGCGTCAGTGATTGTCTGACACAAACCAAAATCTAAAATGAGAGATCGAGACTCTACCTCTTTCCTTCAAGAATACTCATTTATGGGCGATGAGGTGAAGGCTGACATTCTACAGGTCGCGTCCCAGACGGTCCAACTCTTCCAACAGGAAATCAATATCTGCCTCCACGACGGCCGCACTTGAGATGATATTCCTGAAGAAATTCGGTCGCACATCGTCAGGCTGATAGCCAATCATCAGCGTGCCTGCCGTCATCATGCGTCCCTTCAAAATTGGTGTGATCTGCAGCACAGAAAGTTGCAAAATACACGTCGGGCCTTAAGAACCGCTGTGTGTGCTATTCCTTCTACTTTAAGGTCTCTAAAAATGTAAATTTGTCCCTGTGCTCAACGAATTAAGCACCACGCCATGAAGGTGTATGGGGAGTGGACATACGAGATACAATTTTCCTTCACTTCGGCACTATTTGGTGAGTGGCCAGCTTAAGTCCCCGGCCGCTTTAGCCCCGGGGAAAGAGTCCCCGATACCCATTGGATAGGAGGTTGGATGGATCTCAGAGCCAGTCTAGACGACTTTGGAGAAGAGAAAATTCTTGACCCTACCAGGACTCGAACTCCGACCTATCTGTCGTCCAGCACGTTGCCAGTCGCTATACCTACTGCGTTACGCTGCCTCCTAGTTTTAGATGTCTATAATGAGTTAAATGGTGAAGGTGTAATTGATCTTAAGCACTACGCCAAGAATGTGTAAGTAGGAGCAGATTGAATGAAGATGATTTACTAATGTAAGATTTGAGGCTTTCACGGCGGTGACTATGAAGAAAGCAGTCTTCTGGGATTTGGCACCGTGTATGTGTGGTGTTAACCGACGTTTCGGAGGAACGTATCGCCCCCATCTTCAGGGTAGAAGAAAAAAAAGTATAAGAAATCTGCAAGCGACAACACCGTGAGAAACGGTAAAGCAGACTGCTTTACCGTTTCTCAGTTAGTGTTGTCGCTACGGAATTAAATGTAAGGAGATGATATAGCTTGCCGGAACATGAACCACGACT